TCAGCTTGTAGACGTTTCCACAGCGCTTGGCCTCCATGGCCGTTGTATCGCCATAGCAGAAAACACATTTGCTCTTGCTGAACTGCGCGACGACATCCTTCTCGGCCCGATTGGACACTGAGATGAGGCTTCCTTCAACTTCTGGGATGTACAGGACATCTGACAATGTGACGGACGTTCCATCCATCAGCTTTAACCCGACGGTGCCTGTTGCAGCTGCGTCGATCTTCGTGCCGTTCTCATTCGTGATACGTATTGGCGTCTTCAGGTCCATCATGGGCACGAACGTGTCCTGGACGCTGGTCATGTGCGAACTGGCATCTGAGTCGACGAGCCATTCCGATTTGGCCATCGCACCCGCAGTCGTGAATCCGAAGTCTGAGACTTGAGCTTCCTCCACATGACCACGTCCTTCGTCGGCTTTCTTATTCCGACGCTCAAGCGCCTTGTGCTCTGGCTTCTTGCAGTAGAAGCGCTTGCCACCTAAGCGACGCTTGTTTCCGAAGTATTTTCTCTTCGTTGCAAAGCTCCCTCTCCTGAAACAATGACGATTTATCCGAGGATTCAACACCAGAGAGTGTTTGGATCGCATAAGCGAGTGTCACGTTGGGAGTGTTCTCCAAAACAGTCGCGATTGTACGGTACTTCTCGGTTAGACTTCCGAGTAGCAGCACGAGCTGCCGAGACTCATCCAGGGATTCACCGATTGACTCCATCTGGAGTACCAGCTCCTTGGACTTGTCCACATGGACAGCGATCTTCGTACCGGGCTCCATCTTGACGCTGTACAGCTTCATCGTACCGATGAGCCGGTTCCTAAGCGTCTTCCGGTTGAAGTGCTCCTCGAGCTGGGTTCACGCGTCAGCGGCAGTCAGCGCTACACGGATGTAGACTTGGTACGTGAGACTCACGTCTCCAGAGATAACATCAAGGGTCTTCAAATCGTTGGTCTTCCTTTCGGCCTTGGAGCGATCACTCACTTGGTCGATCTCGGCCTTGGTGATCTGCGGGGGCAGCTCAATCCGGGCGAGCTTAATCCGCATGCTTACGCCTAGTGGAAGTAGCTGTTTTTTACGAGCTTGTCGATACTGTCAACGTAGCTTGGGCTCATAGCCAATTTAGAGTAGAAGACGATGCGAACGAGGCTTGTAGTCGATGTACGTCGATAAATGGAAATTTGAAAGTGAGATAGGTTGAGTTAGAAGTCTTAGTATCTCTTTCTGCCTCATACATGCAGTCCCTAGTAGATATGGTTTTGGATAATACGAGTAAAAATGTCTAAAAGTATCTAAAATGTTTTAAACAGTTTTAAAGTGTCTGAAATATTTAAGATTTTCTAACGCCAGTGCAAGCAGAAGCGAATCCCTTTCAGAGCACAGTGTCGAGCAAACAATCCTCCCTGCTCGCAGTCGGAGTGCGTGCCACGACCAATGACACCGCCCAACACTGCCGAACCCCCCCCCCCTCCCCAGCAGGCCACCACCCCGTTGCCATCACAACAAGATACGCCACGATCTTCGAAGCTAGAAAGCAAGCGCGTTCCGATAGTCCTCAGGCGGACACTGAGACGATCGCCTCGATATACTCCCTATCGTGCGGGAGGTCCTTACTTAAGCCCGTCTGAGCCAACACCACGGTCTTCTGTAGCAACAGGGCAGATGGCTTCTCGCCCCAGCCCCTTGCATCAACACCAACGCGACCTTCTCACTTTCCAGACCCGCCGAGACGTTCCAAGCATCTCCACTTAAGACACGACGCCCATTGAGCGAGAGAATGGAAAGAAACGCAGGCGCTTTAAATACTGTGGTGCCCTAAAGAAGAATGGGAAGCCCAGTGGTAACCTGTTAAACCATCTGAAGAAGCTAACCAGTGTCCGAATATCCCTAGAGATGTACTGGCGTCTCTAAGGACTCCTGAAGTGACTAAACCAGCTCCGGCATCTGTCACAAAACCATCATCCACAACAAGCGAGCTGACACAAGATGCCTTCGAAATAGTACTCGCGAAAGGTTTTTTGTGTGTGCATTACCATTTATTCTGGTTGAGGCGCCAATTTTTTGGCAAGGTTTTGCTATGGTAGTCCCAACAATGAAACTTATCTCTCGACACAAGCTCAGTGGAGTTCGCTTGAAACGCGTTCGAGATCAGATCGGGCGGGACCACATTATCAAATCGGAGCGATCGGGAAATTTATTACGGAGAAAGAGCGGGCCACAAGTGGAAGGGTCGTCGCAGTCGTAGCTGAAAATGGGGAAAATGACAAAATGTGAGTGGATACACTAAAGTTGTGACAGAAAGTTAAAGGTGTGCCAAAACGTGAGCAAAGTGGGGTCGGTATCGCCGGTAGGTGTACCAAGTGAAACCCGCGTCAGTAAGTGAGGAATTTAGGGAACAAACGTCACAATGTGTGTCTAAATGATTGAATGGCTGAAAAAAGGTGGTCCGGACTTAAACCCAAAAACCCGTTGTATACTAATGTTCGCCATGCGTATGAAGACCCAAATCGTACACTCTTGTGGAGTATGGCACACCAAGTATCAGACGACATTGCCTGAACAGACTCAGCGAATACTGAGAGGAGGCGCGTGCCTCGATGGCTCGTGTTTCGCTCTCGCGTGCCTCCAAGACATATCGGCAACGCGACTGGCGACAGTGAGCGGGCGGCACACGCCGGCGACCAGGCGTAGCCGGTGGCACGCGGCTACTGAAGCAGCAGCATAAAGGACAGGTACTGCTGCCGCAGGAGCTCGTAGATAGGGATAGTTTGAGGACTCTTTGACTAATCTCACTTCACAACTTGGTATACAGCGCGCAATACGTCATAACTCTTAAGTACCAAAACTACTTATTACGACTGAGGGCCGCAAATGAAGGAGGACATCGACGACATCGCTGATGGATTGGACAGCGGCGATGAAAAAAACACTATTCAGGTCGGAATGACTTTTGATACTGCTTCACATGCTCTTCATGCTGTTCAAGACTACGCCTTATCTCATGGGAGGTCTGTACAGTACGAGTTTTACGTGCGCGTCTATACTCAGTACTGCGACCTCTGCAGCATAACATGGCTTCATGCAATACCAGTGTCTGGTGAGCCACAAGAATACACCGCTACAGGTCCGGATCACCTAGCCCAGCTCGTACTTAAGCAGCAAATGGATGGATTTTCAGTGAGCGATCTGCAGGCCTATTACACGACGTGGCTGTGTTTGTAATATATCCCCCTGAGTCAGAATAATTAGCGCGAGTTAACCTAACTTTCTCCTTGAGTCAGAATAACTCGCGCGAGCTAACCTGACTTTTTCCTTGAGTCAGAATAACTCGCGCGAGTTAATCTGACTTTCTCCCTGAGTCAGAATAACTCGCGCGAAATATTCTGACTTTCTCCCCGATTCAGATTAAGTCGCGCGAGTTAATCTGAATTATCTGAGTCTGATTCGTTTTGAACGGCTGGTTGCGATGGCCAATCCCGAATTAAGGGCGCGATGTCCAAGCGCACGTGCACCCAGCGGGCCGAGAGAGAGAAGATAGAGCTGCTGAAAAAGTGGAAAGCTTATCCAGAATGGACTGCAGCAGACGCTTCGCGAGCGCTAACGTCAAGGAGCCTACTCTGCATGGATGAAAACAACAGTATCGGGATAAACTAGACTGGGGGCTCTGTGATTACCGGTATCGTCTCCCAATTGGGATTGGCTCCCACCGACCAACAAGGGATTTGCTGAATGCCAAGTTGCGACAGTAAGTGAGTCGGTACGAAAGCTGTGTTCACCATCTTCGTCTGTGATCATTTACACTTTCTGTCACAACTTTCATGTATCCACTCACCTGGTGTCACTTTCCCCTGAAAATGCCCCAAACATGAAAAGTGCGTCAGGTCGCATTCATACCAGTCGGCCGTGTGTCGTAACCGGGGGATGATCGGCTCGGGTACTTAATCTACTGATGCTGGATATGTAAAAGTTACCTGTCATTCGAGCAATTCAGTCGCGGGTGGCTGCCCTAACACGATTTGTAAAGGACCACCTAGCACTTCTTGACGACTTGAAGCTGCTACAACATTAAATTCGCGAAACGGGCCTAAGTGCACGAATCTTCGTGCTACCAGTTCCTACACGCTGGTATTTGGTGTAGGCATGTTTGAGAAGTGTGTGAAATAGTCAGGAAATACTCAAAACAATATTTTTGAGTCCTGACTATGATGTCGCGATCTCCTTCTCTTGTCGGGGTCGTGTATCTTATAAAAGACGACGTAAGAACTTAGACGTAATCAATGAATAAAATGTACGTGTTTCTTATTTCTTTTTCTTGAGCACTTCTCGTAAAAGAAGGAAATTCACGACTAAGAGCTCCCTCATCAGCTCTTCAACTTACCAAAGTACCTCCTACCAGCTCTAGTACTTCTAGTCGTAGATTGTGAAGAGCACCAGCGCTCCACTGTCTGAACCTCTTCGTTCCATTTTAGACCAAGGACGAGGTATCTGGCGACGGAGAACGGGACTGATCGGGCCTGACATTCTTCGTACGCCGCTCGCTAAATTGCCGCAGGCAGTCGTCCAGAATAGCGAGACCTTCTTATAGCCGAAGACCGTGACAATGAGCAATACTGGATCCCATTATTGCTGCTTTACGAAAGCTCGAAGCAGATGGCGTGTTTGTTTCGGGGGATTAAGTGGCTCAGATGGCTTCGCTACCATTCAGCATACGGCGTCACATCACCGGAGAAAGAAGAAGAACAACCGGAAGTGAATGATCCAAATAATTTACGAGTAAGACATCAATCTGTTTCTCAAGAAGATATTGGAATTTTGAGTGATGCTGCCGAGCGTGTAGTCACTACATATTCTGCTGAAACTGAATACCAAACTACATCACCAGACGAGGAGAGACTGTCTGCTGGACACTAGTAAAAGAATGTAGCCACTCTTCCTTTAAGGGGGCTCCGAATTTACTTCCGCCAAAAGATCAAGAAAGGTTGGAGCTATGTCCACACAAATGTCATGGGTATTGGTTTCATGCTCGATCCAGCAATGGATCTCGACGACTTTGAAGGTTGCGATGATGTCAACGTAGATGAGCAAGTCCGCAAAATGGCGAAGCAGTGTGGCTTACGCACACCCACCACCGGAGTACCAAAGCTAACAGCCGAAGCTCTTAAGTTCAAGAGTGTGAAGCGGCGTGGTGGAGACATGCTGCGAGAGCCGTATTCGATGTCAAGACCGCGGGACTACTGGAGCGCAACGAGTGACACAGAATTTTTGTTGCTAAAGAAAATAGCAGAAGATGTCTTCGCAATTCCTACGTCGCCAGCGGCCAGCGAGCGAGCATGGAGTGTATTTGAACATATACACTCCTAGAGACGATACAGACTCTCGGTTGATAAGGTCGAAAGGCTGGCCTACATCTACATCAACCACGGCACCATTAGCAAAGATAAGGTAGATCTTGCGCGTCATCGATCGCGACCCGATAGTGTAATTAAATAAATAGATATATCCCATCAAAGTGTGGAGTGTTTTATTTGTGAATCGTTGTATAGATTTTGATACTGAACGTTGTTCTATCGAAATACCTGGTGATGGCAAATTGCGGGCGGGTGACCACCATTGCATGCGGCGGAAACTACAAAAGGCAGGTGCACTTCATTTAGTTGAATTTCTTGATTGACCGCAGATCTCTGCTATTCTTCTGCCGATATATATCTCAACATTCATATAAACAGCGCTGCCACGCCCCACCGTCGTCCGCATCATCGCATCTGGGCCTGACTGGAATCTCAAATTAGCCTTGTTTAGCGATCATTCGTGCTGAGTTTAGTAAACTGTACCCAAGAAAATCGCGTGTACCCCAGCGTATTGCCGCGCTACTTGACAATATCCTGCACAACCGACCACGACAGATCCACCTGATTCTTCCACTCGACCGATTTATACTCTCCGCTACCAGAACGGTGGCATCGACAGTGTTGAAGCCACCACCACCTTCTCGATGATGGTGGTCATCTATGCCATCGTTGCGCACACCGTCGTGTTCACAGCTCTAATGTTGGGCAGTATCAAGATAATTATCTTGATATTCTTGGTATTCGCCACCCGTTAGAAAATGACAGCACTGCGTAGGAATAATATGACTCTGGGAATTGATACCATTCTCTCGTCTAATCACTGGTTTGAGCTCGCTAAGATCTTAGCGCGGCACCATCGGTATTCTAGCATGATGCTCGGCTACACCTTATCTGTGTACTTAGTCAGTGGAGTCAAAGCCAGTAAGAGACAACTCCTGAGTAACTCATTGCTCATCGTGAACGTTGAGTACTTCTCTATAATCAGCGAAGCTCCGAGCAGAATGACGGGCGAATCGTTCATCCAACTCTCTTTCTCTCCCTTGATGCTTTTCAAGGTCGTGACGACCTTACAGGTTGCGCTGACATTGGCACCTGTCAGTATTGTTTGGCTATTCTCCACGCTGGTCCCACACCTAATCAATTAAGTAGGCGGCATGCTCGCGTCCAGATGAGGCCGCTGTGAGTGTGCTAATACCTTCAGCTTCATGCACTTCCGCTTGAACGGACGCTGCTGTGCTCTTATCGCCGAGGTGCCAACGTCGTCAATGTCGAAGCTGCTAACGGTAAAATGCAGGATAGTATGCACGCCTGTGAGGAATACAAACTGTATTCTATCTGATATTTGAGAGTTATTTGAGTTTTGGACGATATTTTGGACGTTTTCCCAAAGTGTTTTAGACACTATTAAGCTAATCCAAAACCATCCCTAGTCCCTAGTGCCCTCCTTCCATCGTCGCTAAGTCCGCGTATACAGATTGTATACTCGGACGGACATACTTATGTGGGACGGACACGCTTGGGTGAGACGGACACACCTGTATACAATGTACACGCCACATGTCACGATTGTCCTTCCGTAGCAATTGTAGTTGGCGACCGATCACACTTCAGGATATCAAATGATCTGTCAATCAGGTTGCACTATTCCTGTCACTTCAGCTGTAGCACGCATTCGGTACGCGCAGGTGTGTGCCAAGCAGTATGCATCTAGACGAGTAGACAGCGAAGTGCAACTACAACGGTTTTGTGGAAAAACTCTGTAAAGTTCATTAATTAGAAGGTATAGCTGAGAAGCACACCTACGACACGTTTTTGATGACATTTTAAGGTTATATAAAATAGGTAGCCGTACTGTAACGGGGTACGTAGCCTCAATTGTACCCCTAGTGACATGAAGTGTGACATGTCACACTTCGTGATATCTGGTACATGGTACCAGGGTCGTCCGAGGCCAGCCATTGGCTGATGACATAGCTTTTCTAAAGGTGACTTATAATTTGTATATTTACCTCAAGCTTAGCCTATCTATAAATATATTCAGTTACAACTTACCTTAAATTGGTCTCTTCGCTCCCTTAGGCAAAAAGGGACCTGTGAACTGCCGTTCACTGAGAGTTTGTATAATCTCGGAAGCCAACTTCCTTTAGCGCAAGGTGCTGTGTGACCCTGTCACACTTGGTAGCACTCCTAGTCAATCCACGCCACCGCGGGTAGACTACCTGAACCTCTCCAAGGTTCGTTGCTATGGATAGGAACGACTTCTCCCATCTGAACGACTCACAGTTCGAGTCGGTTCGTAGGATGGCTGGCATCTTGGGGATGGAGGCCCTGCAGAGCCTGCTGGCGTCAACACCGGCCGAGCAGCTCGAGCGCGTCAATGCGTTTGACGCTTACGAGCAGGGGCTCATCGCACATGTACGGGAAAACCTGCAGGCTCCGGCGGCGGAAACTAACCCTCCACACCCGAAGCCAATACGACTGAAGGTGAAGCCGTGTGAAGGGAAAGAAGGTGAGAGCCTTCACTTCGGGTTCCGAGAAGTAGAGCTCGCGATGGACGCGGCTCTGATCTTGACCGAGAAACTCCGCGTTGCTTTTGCGCTCTCCAACCTTAGCGGCCGTGCTAAGAGTTGGTTGTACACGTGGAAGGCGACATCCCCTGGATGTTTCACATCCTGGGCTGAGCTGTGCGAACAGCTCCGAGCCGCGTTCCTCCCGGCGAATACGAGTACCGGCAGCGTTCGCGCTTCCTCTCATGCAGGCGAGGAAGGCGAGAGCTACACGAGTACGTCCAAGAGATACAGGAGCTCACGGCGTCCCTAGTGGGAAACCCACTCAGCGAACACGTCAAGATAACTGTGTTCATGGATGGCCTTCGAGTAGGCCCAGCGCGCACTCAGCTATTCCGGGGCAGTTAAGCACCCTCGAACAGGCAATTCAAGTGGCTCTTAAAGAAGAATATAGTCATCGCCAGCCGCGCACGCCGGCCTCAGAATGGCCCGGGAATTCTGTGTCGAATCCCGGTCGAGCAAACCCCAACGGACCACTTCCCATGGAGCTCGGGTCCGACGAGCCGCGGGGCATTCGCAACTTCGGCTGCGGGAAGCTAGGCCACGTCAAGCGTGACCGCCCCGCGGAGAGACACCGCAGGTGGACCTTCCCCAAGCTCAAGAGTCGCTGGCAGAAGTCAGGGTCCCGGGGCAGGGGATCGCCGGAGACCAGTAGGGGCGGTGCGCCCTACAGGGGAAGAACTAAGTCTTCGTGAGGGGTGCGCGGGTGGCGCGTACCACGGGAACTTAGCCCCTGAGAGTCTTCACACTCTCGAATCAGCGAAGAGCAGTGGCGGGCTGCTCGTAGTACACGGATGTGTACGGGGATACGATCATCCCTTTAGAATCTTGATTGACTCTGGGGCGTCGAAGAATTTCGCACGCCGCCAGACGGTTGCTCGCAACAACAACAAATTGCTCGATGCTTTGAGAGAAAGCAAGGGCAACGGGACGGTGTCAGTGCGACTGGCCGACGGGAAGGTCGTCACTGTCCCCAACGTCCAAGTGGATCTGGCCGTCCAGCGCGAAGACTTCGACAGCCCAGAACAGTTTACTGTTTTCGACATGGAGCCCTACGATTTGATCCTGAGCATGCCCTGGCTCGAGAAGCACGAGCCCCAGAACGACTTGCGAGGCAACGCAATCGGTGCCTGCCGCCCTGCGAAGTCCGACAGAGCATTGGTGAGTCAAGTTCCCACCTCTGCCAGGTCCCGGGGCGCACGCAAGGGCTGCCAGAGTACCGAAGCATCCAGCAGACGCTTGGGAGTTGTCAACGTATATGACGACTACAACGACGCTTCGATGGTGGTGGCACTAGGAGGCGCTGGTCAAGTGGGTAACTAAGGTCCACAAGTAGGTAACATAATTCCGCAGACAGCTGCAGTTGTCACGATCACTGGTAATAGCGTGTACAAGGTGAGTAACAGAGCTCCACACACGGTCGCCCAGACCTGAACTGAAGAGGAAGCCGTCGGACATGCTTCCTGCGTTGGTAACACAGTACCACATGAGCTTACCCAGAGCATAACTGAAGAGGAAGACGCGGGGTGCGCTTCCTGTGTGGGTAACACAGTACCACACAAGGCCTCGAGTGCCTCGGATGTAGGAACCACGACATCCCCGGACGCGGGTAACAAAGTTCCACGTCACGGTCGCCGTCGGCGATGACGTCGCTTCAAGCGACTCGGAGTCCAGGGCCCGGTCTCCTCCGACAAGGCCAGTGGAAGAGTGTTATCACATCTTCGATGGCGAGACCGGGTTACCCGCCAAGGCATCTGGTGTCCACCTGTAACATTTTCCAGAGGTTGCAGAGATACTGAACCTCGCGGAAATGGCGTTCGAGTTTTTCCTGGCCAGCCTCAGGTATGGGGAGGTTGCCGAGATGGTGCTCATAAGACCTGAGGCCACTCAGGAGGAGTTGAATTCCTCCTCTGTCTTGGACGAGGACGTCCTGGAAGAGCTGAGCTAGTAGCGTCAGACGCGCTTGGGTTCTGAGATTCTTAAGAACCCCCAGGATCCGGTTCCTTTGATGACGGAGTATGCGGACGTGGTGAACAAACACCCACCGACCCAACTCCCACCGGATGGAGGCGTACGGCATGAGATCGATCTCGTGTCTGGCACAAAGTATTGTGTCACGAGACAATGGCCTCTTCCTCGCGAACAGTGCGAGGTCATCGATGCCTTCTTTGCTGCGAAAGCAAAAGCAGGCATTGTGCGGTAGTTAAAGGATCCGCACTCGACGCCAACATTCTGCGTTCGGAAGCCGAGCGGGAAGTGGCGTCTAGTTTATGCTTATAACAAGCTGAACAACGCGACGGCGCCGGTCCAGACACCAATCCCACGAAAGAATGTGTTGTTGAACAACATGGCCGAAAGCGTACTGTACAGTGCGCTGGATTTGGTAGACGAATACTACCAAATCCTGATGCGCAAGAACGACATCCCGCTCACCGCGGTAAGCACTCCAAGCGGCATGCTTTGGGAGTGGCTCGTTATGCCGCAGGGCTTGTCTAACGCCCCGGCGACATTCAATCGCCTGGTGACGCAATTGTTCCGCCCTTTGCGTACCTTCGTACAGACGTACTTCGACGAC